CTATATAGTTTCTGCCAAATAATAAATTTATTTGGCAGACAAATCATAATAAGCTGCCGGATAATAATATTTATCTGACGAGCTCTTCATACACCATGAGTTCCAACAAGCAATTTTGACTGTTAAAAAGTTTAAGGCATGATTTAAAAATTAGATTTGCTTCTCAACTGCCAAATTTCACACATGACTATTTTCAATTTAGCATATGTGAATTTATAACAATTCAAATCTTAACTAATAGCAATTTATCAAATAAAGATTGAAGAATCAGTTTTCATGACTTGAATACCAACAATAGAATTTGGAACCGGATTTGGCTTTTTTGAATCCGAATTATTTTTAATTAATGATATTCTGCTTCGAACAATTACAAATTCAAAAAAAAAAATAACGATAGTAGCATTATTGTACTGTACGTACATACGCGCCGTACATACGTGCGTACATACATACACTCTGTGACAAAAATGGATCACTACAGTATATCCGAATTTAAATCGAATCTGAAGGAAATCGGATTTAAATCTGAAGGTCGAATCCGGTTCCAAACTTTAACAACGCAATTTATTCATGAATACTTATAGGGCTTAATAGAAAACAATTGTTGAAATTGTGTAAACATTAATTAATAATTGCAATTGGTGAAACTAGTTTTGTTAAAAATTAAATTTGAATTTAGATTTTTTTAAATTACTACAAAAGTGGCCAATATGCGTACGTATCTTGAATATGCCCTTTTGTTAATCCATACCGATACATAATGCAGCTTTTGATCATGTACAAGAAAGCAAGATAAACCAATAAATTTTTTTGTTTTAATTTCCTTAAGTTTCATTTATCTCTAATTTGACAATGATATTCTGACTTTGTGTATGTAACAGACTTTATAGGTCCCCGCCGAAAGAAATTTCTTGCGAATCCAGCTTGATTTGAAAATTAGATCCGCGCAGAGGTGATAACTTTCTTGATGCTGATCTATACTTAATTAGGGTTAGTTACTATTTTAGATAGGATTTGCATCAATATTACTGCACGGGTTTCACCCTATTACAATTACCGAAATTTCACTAACGTTAACTTTAATGCAACTGTAAGCGAATGAATCAGTTTTACGGACGCCTTTTAAGAAATTAATAGTAACGCGAATCTTTGTGTCAAGGCATTGCTCGTATTTTATGTTTGTTGATTTTTATTCGGAATATTTCAGACTTGTACTTATTTTTAATTTTAAATTTTTAATAATAGGCCGAATCAACAAATGGCAGTAACTTATTATGTTCTACGTATATATATATGCGAATCTAATCCAGAGCGATGACCTTTTTGTCTGAGAATTATATAAAGCCATGACTTTATGATACGTAATTCGAATCTATAGGTCGATCCCATTTTCCAAATTTTATACGTAGTATATAATATGGTGCAAAACCTCAATCACTTTATATAGAACCAAAAACGATCAACGCATTGGAGATAAGCTAAATTCAGTAGCGGCTTATTTTAAGTTTCAACCGTATGCATAAAACAGCTCCCATTAAGTGCATATTTTGGGCGTATTAAGTTCTATATGCATTATCCTAACACGGAGATTGAGGTTTTTAAATTTCCTGCACCGTACTTAATACGTAGTATTCGAATTATTAATTATTGTTACGTATGGTGGGGGACCTATAACATAATTTTCCCGGACCTGTATGTACCTTATGCACCTACTGCGTACGTACGTATACATGCTATATCATCGTCGCTATACAGTGATCCCGAAAAAACGTGTAATTACTGTAATATGGCGTAAAAACAAAAAAAATCGCATGCTGAAAATTTTTGAGAATGAGATGCTAATGAAGCTGAAAGTAACTACGCTCTGCAGAATAATAATAAAATTTGGTTTATTCCTACTTAAATTGTTTTAGAATCCAAAATTCATTTAGTGGATTTAAATGGATTTCCAATCTACAATAGCTGTTTGTTCGTTCACAACATATACAATCAACTCTTTTAAACCGATCCTGGATAACCAATCAATAAATTCTGTCTAAATCGAACTTTAAAAATTTTTTAAACTGAACCTCTTGTCTATTTTCTTAATAAGCCCCAAGGTCAATTATGAAGAAAGTTTACTGGATGTATATAATAAAAAAAACTTTAGTGTAATAAATCATTTGAATTATTAATTAATCCGGGATATTACATGTTCTAAGGTTTAATACTAGTTCATAAAAATAAGTCAAGCATATGCTGATTCGTCTAAAAACACTTGATTTAAAGAAAATATTTTATATATTAAATTTATAACATCTTTAATTACTATCAACAGCTGTACTTCCTTCGCTTGAAGATGTATCATCTTCGATTGTTTCTGAAATTGGTTTTGACCCTGCATTTGAATCATTGGCCTAATATCAAATGAAATATATATTAGGAAAGAAAATTGTATATGTAATGATTTATGAATATATATATATATATATATATATATATAAACAAGGGTTTACCTCAAAAATAGCGATACAGAATTCACTAAGTGGCTTTATGCACCATTTAGTAGGAGATCGAAAGCCAGTAAACCACCCAAGGTGACCACCATAATAAGTGGTAGCCAAAATACAATTTGGATTATATCTAAGCATAATAAAATTTGATTAAAATAAAGTTTTATAGCTACAAATAGCAAACATAATGTTTAATTTTGTAATTTCAATAGAAATAAATATACATTATCTCATCAAAAGGTAGACACTCGGGAGGTACAATAGGATCATCTTCAGCATTAAGGCACAATAAAGGCACGCGTACTTTAGTAACGTAAAAGTAAGAACTAGCATCTCGATAGTAATGATCCACGGTATCGAAACCAAAGCATTTAGATGTTACGTGGGTATCAAATTCACGAATAGATTGTGACTTGATAATATATATACGAAGGAAATTTTATTGTTATCTTAAGAGAATAATATGCAATAAGAGATAGAATCTTAGTTAGGCATGAAGGCATACCGTCATGGCTGTGGAAATATTAATTCTCTTATCTTGTTTCATAATATGTTCATGTCTTTTAAGGCAAGCTTTAAGACCTTTCGCAAGAATTGGCGAATATATGTATTTACCCAAATATGTTCGTACTAAAGCCTTGCCTCCTCTATCAATTTAATTAGAATAGAAGGATAATAGGAAGAATACAATAAGGTTAATTCAAAGAAATACAAACCCGACGAGATCAAATGGATTGGCAACGGATACGGCTGCAATCAATGGCGTTTTTTCGCCTTCCTCACCAAGGTACTAGAATCATATACGGAATATATAAAGATAATTAGAGTCTAATTAAACATCAATTGGTAAAGATTATAATTTTAAATATTTGCCTTGACTAAAACATTAGCACCCATGCTAAATCCAACAGCAATCAACGGTGAATTTGGAATACATTTTTGAATATATTGTAAACAAGTTCGTAAATCATCAGTTACTCCAGCAGAATAAAGCCTAGGTGATGTAATTTGTGATTCAGAACACCCACGAAAATTAATCACAACGGCACGATAATTATGAGGTGGATTTATAAGAACTTCAAGTAAACATCTAATGTATGATGCATGACTCCCTTTTATTTTATAAAAAATATTTAGACAAAAACTTTGAGTAATAATTCATTTATAAGACTTTTTTTTTCACCTCCAGTTAATCCATGTAATACAACAATTGTCGGTGTATTATCAAAAGGTTTTTGAGATATTGAAGGAGTCCAATCAACAGCGATCTGACCGCCATCAGGTGTTTCTACGAATTTCCTATATAATATCAACGTTATAAACAAAAACACTTTATAAATTCTTTTAAAATTGACTCTGATTACCTTTCATAGTTGATTAAATGAATTCCATCAAAGTTTGCGTAGGCAGCATAAGCACTTTGCAAGTGTCCATTTGGAAGCCACAAAGTAGGATAATACACAGCATTTTTGCCTATAAGAGAAGGACATTTTTCCGAAATATAATCAAGCAATTTAATTTCATTGGTCTCTTTGCCTCGAACATTAATTTTTACAGTTTCTGGATTACTATATATTTTTACGGGAGAACCAAGAAATGGAAACATTATTTTAGAAAGTAAAAAAAAAACGAAGAAAAAAGAGTGTATGCCATTAAAGTTTAATGTGGATCAATTTATCTAAATCGTACAATGCATGAATGCTTTGAACAATATCCTACATCATTAAGATTGCATTGTATTTAATGCTGAAATCACATGCTTTTTCGTATTAAGAAAACTTTAGAAGACTTAATTTGGCTTCTTTCATTGTGGATCTATGTAAGACCTTAAAACCTGTACCAATAGAGTTAACTTGATATATTGTCTGGATGTGTACCAGGTTGGGATCGGATGATCGACCGGAAAGATAGGTCGGAATGATAAGAACATTCGGAACTGGAAACCA